AGCTGGGCATGACTGACATTCAAATTTGCGACGTAAAAGACAGTGACCACGCTTGCAACGTCAAATCTCTATTTTATTTCATGTATGTCATGGTCATTACAAAGTGGTATAGATTTGTGAATACTGATTCAAGATTTTGTTGTAAACATATTTTTGTCACAGCTATAACCGGAAGAAAACTGTAGAGATGTTAGTCTTCAAAGTTCAAAAGTACAGAAGTATTATTTGTACCATGGTCATATGGAACCCTATTTGTTTTACATTTCAGTATTTGTGTATGACTTAATAACATATTTTATTATTTCCGTTTAACTGCTCTGGAATTTCCCTTTACAATCATGCTCTAACCCTAACCCTAACTTCTGGAGTGAAGCCAGAAATAAGCAGTTAAAATTAATATACATATGTTACCCGCCGGTATCAATCTTAAAAGTAACGTTAGAAATTATGACGCTGCAAGCGACGTCAGAAGTCATATAGCATACTTCTATGTATGACGTATCTTTAAAGTGGCGTCAAATCATCAAATATTGACGGACTGGCATATTTTTTATATCATTGTGATCAGAAATGTCTCTAGATTTCGAAATCATAAAAATCACAAAATTGATTTTTTACTGCGTAAGGAACCTAATCCCAGCCGGCGGCTCATATACAAAAACCAATTTCCATGGTGTCAAATTGGCAAAATCTGTTTAAACATACTAAAATCTTTAAAAAAAATAAGGAATTTCAATGGAAATGTATACACAGAATACGATATACAGAAACGCAAATTAAGACGTTTGGAAGTTCGAATGGAAAATGTCACTTTTGCAAAACCGAACATTTGTTCTTTAAATGTGAATTCACTACAAATATTATAATTTGTAATAATATGTAGAAACATTAATGAGGAACATTGTTCCTGGATATACTAACATTATACTTAAAACAGAGGAAACTGCTATACTAGGATATCCAGGAAATAATTAAATTTCAATACTGATAAATACAGTCATAAGTACATTGTATTATGAAATGGATAATAAGGAAGGGGGGGGGGAATTATATAAAGCATAACAGCAAACAATCAAACTTATAACGAACAAAATAACAAATAAAAATCAACTGAAACATGACCTGTGGTTATATTTTTAATCAAAGCGAAAGAAAATAGTTCCGCTTAAAACAGTATCATACTTGTATGAAAATATTAATCAATATGTCATAGAGCCTTAATGATGAATTTAATATAGATTGTGTGTTTCAGTGTGGAACCTGGTCAATCATGTCGAAAGCTCGGTTATGTGATAAGATTTGATATGACCAGCTCAAGGATTGACCTCTCGGGGTAATTGATCAGGCTAAAGGGAACTGAACTCGTATTTTACTTAACAGAGGAAGGAAATACGACGAAAAATAGTCAAATTCGTGTCCAACAACATATATGTTGATTGTGTTCTATACAATGTCAAACAAGATGTAGTTTATATCTTATATAATGTTAAAAATGTGTTGTTTCTATCTTATGTAAAACAACGTGAACGTTAAAAAAAGAGTAATTAGATAAGATTGTGTGTACTGCTGAAATTTGTGAGACTTTCAGTTATATGAAATAATTGAATATTAAGTAAAAATTAACTATGTTAGATAAAGCGCTGAATTATATGAGATTGTGGGTAATTTTCAATTATGTAAGGTTACACGTTATGTTGAATTATGAAAGACTGTGTGTAATGTTGCATTATGTAGGATTGTGTGTAATGTTGCATTATGTAGGATCGTGTGTAATGTTGCATTATGTTAATTTGTAAGAAATGTTGCATTATGTAGGATTGTGTGGAGTATTGTATTATGTAGGATTGTGCGTAATGTTGCATTATGTAAGACTGTAAGTAATGTTGCATTATGGAGGATTGTGTGTAGTGTTGCATTATCTAAGATTGTAAGTAATGTTGCGTTATGTAGGATTGTGTGTAATGCTGCATTATGTAAGATTGTAAGTAATGTTGAATTATGTAGGATTGTGTGTAACGTTGCATTATGTAAGATTGTAATTAATGTTGCATTATGTAGGAGTGTGTGTAATGTTGCATTATGTCAGATTGTATGTAATGTTGCATTATGCAGGATTGTGTGTAATGTTGCATTAAGTAAGATTGTAAGTAATGTTGAATTATGTAGGATTGTGTGTAGCGTTGCATTATGTAGGATTGTGTTTCATGTTGCCTTATGTAAGATTGTGTGAATTGTTACATGTATTATGAAGGATTGTGTTTCATGTTGCTTTATGTAGGATTGTGTGTAATGCTGCATTATGTAGGATTGTGTGTAGCGTTGCATTATGTAGGATTGTGTTTCATGTTGCCTTATGTAAGATTGTGTGAATTGTTACATGTATTATGAAGGATTGTGTTTCATGTTGCTTTATGTAGGATTGTGTGTAGTATTGCATTATGTAGGATTGTGTTTAATGTTGCTTTATGTAGGATTGTGTGCAGTGTTGCATTATTTAGGATTGTGTGTAATGTTGCTTTATGTAAGATTGTGTGTAGTATTGTTTTATGTAGGATTGTGTGTAATGCTGCATTATGTAGGATTGTGTGGAGTATTGTATTATGTAGGATTGTGTTTAATGTTGCATTATGTAGGAGTGTGTGTAATGTTGCATTATGAAAGATTGTAAGTAATGTTGCATTATGTAGGATTGTGTGTAGTGTTGAATTATGTAGGATTGTGTGTAGTGTTGCATTATGTAAGATTGTAAGTAATGTTGCATTATGTAGGATTGTGTGTAGTATTGTATTATGTAGGATTGTGTGTAGTGTTGCATTATTTAGGATTGTGTGTAATGTTGCCTTATGTAGGATTGTGTGTAGTATTGCATTATGTAGGATTGTGTGTAGCGTTGCATTATGTAGGATTGTGTTTCATGTTGCCTTATGTAAGATTGTGTGAATTGTTACATGTATTATGAAGGATTGTGTTTCATGTTGCTTTATGTAGGATTGTGTGCAGTGTTGCATTATGTAGGATTGTGTGTAATGTTTCATTATGTAGGATTGTGTGTAATGTTGTATTATGTAGGATTGTGTTTAATGTTGCTTTATGTAAGATTGTGTGAATTGTTACATGCATTATGAAGGATTGTGTTTCATGTTGCTTTATGTAGGATTGTGTGCAGTGTTGCATTATGTAGGATTGTGTGTAATGTTTCATTATGTAGGATTGTGTGTAATGTTGTATTATATAGGATTGTGTGTTGTTGCATTATGTAGAATTGTGTTTCATGTTGCATTATATAGAATTGTGTAATGTTATATAATGTATGACTGTGTGGAATATAAAATCATGTAAGATTGTTTGGAATGCAACATTGTAGGAGATTGTGTAATCTTTTAATGTTAAATTATGTGAGATTGTGTTGAATGTGTAATTATGTAAATTTTACAAACAAAAGGAACAAAAAATATTTCAAACAAATCATAAAAGAATATTGAACCGACGTTATGAGTAATATGTTGGTTATGCATAAGATATTCCCATTTTAGAGGATTTGTAGTACCATAGTGAGTCTTAGGGGTGTGGTTGGTGTTAATGTTTCTGTTTGTTAGACTGGTTTTACGTCCGTGTCACTTACCGAGTAGTTCGATTATCTCGTAGACGAATATCCAGATATAGATTGATTGTATTTGTAACAGCACACATGAAAAGAATATTAATATACAAAATCATAAGAATATTGAACCGACGTTATGAGTAATACGTTGGTTAAGCATAAGATATTCCCATATAGCACAATACAATACACAAAGAAATACAGACGCTATATATATAAAAATGAATTATTACTGTCAGACTCTGTTAGAGTGATTTGTAGTTGCTCTTACTGACAGAGTTTCATATTGTAGATTTCTGGCCTCGTCGTCACCTTACTCTTTGACGTGGTCCCGTACTACTGGTCGTATCCATAAGCAGGATCGTTCTGGGCAAACCCTACAGGGCTGGTCATTGGGTATGTAGACCCTGCCTGGTGTGTGGTGGTTGAATGCACGACAACCGTCTGCGGGCATGGCGGGGTTATAAACGTGGTGATGACAGGAGGGGGCGCCATCTGACTCGCAACGACACACATGGTGATAGCGACAACGAGGCTTGATGCACCTGTCACCACGGCGAGGTAAAATGAGTAGCCAAATTTCAGTTCCTGCGACAAAGACGATTCAATCAAGTCCAAATCAGTTTTCATATCAAGATAGAACCAGACAACACCAGCCAGGATACAACCGCCTACGAACAAAGATACGAACCGTATTAAATAGTATCACAACTATTACATTTGATTAAGTATTAAAATTGAAATGAGAAATAATAATGGTTTTGGATTCATATTTGAAGAAAAATAATTTAAAAATGTTACGAAAGCGGCTATTTATATTATTTTGGACTAAGTCACTAGGAAAAAAGAGTTTACATGAAAAAACTAAAATGTTTATGTTACAATGTCAACTTTTTTTCTGTATGTAATTGTTTGTGTGGCGAGTTGCCTTGAAATTTGACCAATTGTTTCGTCCGCACTGCCACTATTACTTATTTGCTAATCAAATATATATACAACTGTCCTAAAGGTAATACTTTGATAATTTAAACATGTATTATTAATATTCCTCTTGATTTGCACGAGATGATAAAACTTACTTGCAACACTCAACATGATAGCCGCTTTGGTGGCAATGGAACGTGCTTGTCCATCCGGAAAGGAACGGAAGTGACGCAGGCTGTTTACACCATTTGCGAACAGAATAATGGCTCCAACAATGTGCAGACCGACAAACGCTATGTAGCTGACTGAAAATGTATACAGTAATGCATGAAATAAAACCCGAGGGGACGGTATTCAAAATTACCAAAAATATCCAAACTAGAGGCAGTGGGTTATCTTTATTGTATAAACACTTAATTTATTGAAAATATGTACATTCCACGAATCGATAATATCACGAACCAAAGGAGCCTAATCTTACTGAAAAAAACTTTGACATATAACACGCATGACGTCATTACAAAATGATTCTAAGAACAGATAAAATGTAGAGCTGTCCACGGTTAGCCAGTTAACTTAATATATTAAGAGTACAAAAACAACACTAACATGTTATCCCTGAACACTAAATTTATTTCAAAACTATCCGATTTCGGGCGCATCTATGCAAATGCAGATAATTTGTAGGTCTAAGCCAGGGAAACATGGGGCTCCCCAAAGGGTTAAGTAAATGTCCGACTATTCGGTTAATGATTTGGGTAACCGGTTCGTGGTCCTCCGACCGAGAAACCGGTTAACAGGCTAACAGTTGACAACCATACTTTAAAGTAATAGTTGAACAAATTGAAAGAAAGACCATTGCCAAGTAAATATTCCAAACACGTCCACTCATTCTTTCCAAACTTGATAAATATGCTATTTGTGCCTGCCCTGGACATTGTACCCGAATACCAGATGTAAAAAAGACGTTACATTTTGCACAGACGTTTTCACTGCATTAGGTTTTCAGGTGCACAGAAAAACTGTAGCGTCACATGGACGTCATACAATACCCTACCGTTATTATGCAACTTAAGATCTTATACAGTGGATACGTTTGTGCAAAATCTTTTGTCTTCTTTTGTCAATAACACATTATTTATACTCTTTACTTCCATTTTTCAATTTTAATATTTCTCTTTTTATATGAAGACAATTAACTACGAAGATTGAAACTTACATGATACGTTAACGTTTCCTTCCTTGTCCGCAAATATGTAATTGACATAGCTTACGCACTTCGATCCAAAGCATACTTGGAACAGTCCGATGTAGGCTGATCCTATTCCCTCTTTTCCGACCACCATCCAGCCAGGTGTGGCTATAGCCACAACATGGATAACGAAAAGTACCAGAGATATTACGCCAACAACTGCAGTGGTCGCCATCTTGTTACACTATCCTACTTCCTTCTTGCAACTGTAAGTTGTCGTTACACTCAGATGCACAGTATTATGGGGTGCAGATTAAAAACCCGATACGCAGTTTTGTAAACACACTTTTTAAGACCAGAAATGTTTATTGCGATGTCACTATCAGCTTCAGTAACACCCATACGTTAAATGTTATGTCAATACATGTCTTACCTGACCGGAAATATCTTGCCATTGAATATTTTTTTGTTTCCTAGTGACTGGCTTGGCACTATCTTACGTTTGACATTAGAATTGAACCTTCGCCTTAGTAAATAGGCAATGGGTTCTGTCCTCAGGACATACGTGTTGTATAAATGAAGGATATACAAATGGATCTTGTCGTAGAAAGGGAAACGAGGGTTTATTTTTTAAGACTATCCTGAATTAGCGTGAAACAACGTTGTGCTGAGTGATTGTTTTGAATAAAGGTTGTTGTCTTCCTAGGAGTGGGGTTCAAAATGAGATATCGAATTAATATTTAAAAAGACTTCTCTTAAATACAAACAAATGCTTTTTGATATCATTTGGCGTGGAGCAAACCTTGGCCAATGGAAATCAACGTTTTATAAAAGGCTTGTATGGCTCTATTTAAAAACCGGAGGGAAATATCATATTGAAAACAAGAAAAAACAAAACATTTCGACATCTTCTCCTTGTATAACAATATTCGCAAGTATTACAAAATCGTTGGAAATGGTCCAATTAATAACTGTTATTTTCTGGCTCATTTTAATGTCTTTGCCTCTGATTGGATGAGACATTTTCTACTTAATTTCCATAACGCTGATTTGACAATTTTTATGCAAATGTTCACCTTTCGGTTCTGGCCTAATGTTATCTTTTTAGTCAGTTCACTCTCAAAGGTGACAATCTGCTATATAAATGGATGAGAAAGTAAGGTTCAACCTCTTAACTTTCACCCGGCCAACCGTAACAAAATTCTATTTTAATTATCCTGTCATGCTCCTGATCAGGTATTTTTTATTCTTTTTATGTTGATTCGCAATCCACAAAAAAAACCTGGTTTTCTGAATAGCTGAGGCAAACAATTTTGACTAATAATCAGTTCCAACAGTTCAAGCGGTTCTTGTATTGCTCTTGTCGAGTAATGTTGTTTGGGTCTATAAGGAATCTCTACATAGTCACCATTGTTTCAAGGTTTCCGAAGCGTTTCAGCTTCTAGTCTGAGAAAAGGCAAAGGCATGAACGTATCATTCTGTGATATTGACTACAGCTCACTATGTCGGAAACCCGTACTAGTGTCGGACTGTAAATAGTTTGCTCTCTGCAACAGGTATTTGAATATGAATCCAGAGTACAACCATTTTTCTTTGTGAACTGGGTGTTTTTCTTTAAGAGCAAGCACTAAAAACTGATTAAATAGTTAGTACCAGGCTCCCCAGAACGTTGAATGGACACGGTGTGATAACGTTTTACCTGAGGTCCAGTACACGTGACCTGACCTATAAAAAGAAGGGGAAATACCACTAGTCCGTTGGAACAATTCTGTTGTTGACAACCTAAACAACACATTCATCGAGGCATTCACGATTGTTTCTGAATTGCCATCTGTCACCCTGAAATTGTTGGAATGTCCCCAATAGTCCATGGCTTCATATAATAAATATAATACATGTTACTCGATTATAGTAAGGAAACTACAGACACTTTATTAATCTCAGCTGAGGAACATGAACTACCCGACACGTTTAAGTGGTGAATGAGCACATATATCGCCACAATTACAGCCATGGTAAAGACACACTAAGGTTGAACAAGTGTATCCATCCTGAGCTCACGTGGAAGAATTCTTTTTTCAAAAGTAACAGGATATCGGTACATTTGAAGCTCTATCGTGATGGGATACACCCAGATGACAAACAGTGTGATATATGGTCACACATCATAATGGGTTATATAAAAACATCATATCACTGACAGCAATGTATCAACAATCTACAAGCAATAAATATGAGGAACTCTATAAAAATCCCAAATAACAATCTACACTGGAATATGTCTGAAAAACATTGAATCCTTATTTGACAAGAAAAAATCTCTCAGCTATTACTGAAACCATACCAGTGGACTTTGACGAACACATATGGTGTAGTAGTAGGTTGAAAAACAGACTTTTAATTGGCAATATTTATAGAATTCCCAATAGCAATGATATAAACAACACAAACTCATTAGAATTACTATCGGAAATCGAAAAAGTAAGGTTCAGTTCACAGGCGATTTCGATTACAAAGAATATATTTGACTCAATCTTCAACTTTAATTTCGGAAAATTCCGACGCTACTTGTTTTTAAGAAAATAACTAAAGATATATAGTAAAGATATATATAAAGATTTATAGCAACCTGTTATTTTCCCTACGACGAGGTACAGAGAACGACAGGCAGCTAACTGCCTGGACTTAGTATTGGTGTTGTATACCAGGTCTTAGTCTCAGTACCGCTTGCTGTCGACTTTAAACTTAAACTTGTATACTGACTCAGAGACTCGTATCACGGTGAAAAGAAACTTCCAAAAACGTAACTACAACACCAGTCGTGAAAACCCACAGAACACTTACATAATTATTAGCACATGTTGCTAGAGGGGATTACAACGGAGGAATCATGAAAAATACCTTTGCTGAAATCTTACCATCATGAGAAGAGGAAAATATACCAGTGAGTATGGTCAATCACGATAAACTGAAGGAATATATGAAAACCAGAGATGACATCAAAAAGAAACGGAAAATATGGTATAAATACCAACACTGTCGAACTGAGAAAAACTGGAAGAATTATAAAAGGTCAAGCAACAACGAGGGCCTCAAAATCCCGCTTTGAAATAATCTGGCCAATCAGATAAAAGAAAACAAAAAAGGGTCTGGAAATATGCTAGGTAATAAACCAAATCCAAACAAAAAGCTCCAATGGAGTTTTGTGTAGCAGGATTAAGGATAAGGCTGAACTTCTGAATGAGTATTTTTCAAGTATTCCCTATATTGAACAAGAACCATAGATAAAAATGATTCGACAGGGGTTGCACTTTTAGACTTATCAAAGGTCTTTGATAAAGTTTCCCATCAAAGGCTATTCTATAAACTCTCGTATTGTGTCAAACATGTCTTTGGATATTCTAGAACCCAGAAAAGTATGTATGTTATACACTTTGTATTACCCCCACTTCCACCCCACCCATTCCCACTCACAGCAACCGCAGGTTAAAGTATCCACGTAAGCTTTATATATTTTTACTTGGTATGGTTTGTTGCTTTGCTGCTGTATATATATTATATCGTGTAATTCTCCAACTTTCGCGCCCCGATAGTATCCACACCATCCCCGATAGTTCATCACGTATGGTTAGCGACAACATCACTTAATGAAATATACTTGTACCTGATTATTTCATTAGCAGTGGTGTTTTTTTTAAAAATATTATTACTTTTCAATATTATTACATTGGATTGTACCGTTTAATTGTCATACTATGTGACCCATCCCCGCCAACTCATTCGTACGCGTTTGTTTGCAGGTTACAATAAAATTATACTTGTCCGCACAATATTTTAAATAGATGAGCCCGGGCTATTGTATGGGTTGTTATGTGGGATGTTTCTCGCTACTTCTTATGCAGTACTCCTAAACTGGTGTGAAACAAATTCTGATGTTTATATTACAATTGTGTACCACATTGGATTTTTTACATGCTCACTCAAATTAAAGCGACCCAAATGTTTGTGTTTCAAACAATTTATCCGTAGAATCTCACCATAAAAATCTCTTTGTATTCGAAAGATATGAATTCCCTGTAATTACTTTGTAATTTTTTTATTATTAAAAGCTCTTACCTGGAGTTGTTACCCGGTCACTGCAGTTTAATTGATTGTCGTCTGCTAGCTATGTTGAGCGTGTCTGTTAGAGCGCAGTGCGTTTTGTACAGCGCCACCTGTTGTCATGTATAAACATGACACATCCACAGGCTTTTCACGAGTTACCTCATACTGGTCTTACGTTAATTTAAAACTACGTTTCTGACCATTATTTTAAATAGTGCAGTCAGTTTTATATATTATATATCATGTTGCACCAAGAAGATGTATTGATCATTTTATTTGTGTATATGTTTTGTATCGTTTTTCACATCATATTTATTTTCTACCACTGGATCTATGCACACCTCTGATTTGTCACCCTGATAGATTTGTACACAAATGCTTGATTTTTGACAATGGGTAATGATTATATGTCACACAGGGTGGCAATCGGAACTTTTTACGCCAAAGCATACGGATATAAAATGTGCCGTTTCTGTTTTTTCTTATTACATTTCACTTTGTTTGCCTATTTATGCATAATTTTCAAAAACATAGCAAAATTTGTAAACTTGTTGAATGATTATCTTGTAACGCACGTGAGCAATTACGATTTTCTGTTTATTTTGCTTTTGCTATTATTACAGCATATGGATATTGAGTCAAATCCTGGTCCCGTGGAAGGCGAGCTTTCTATTTTTCATTTAAATATTAGGAGTGCAAGGAACAAAATTGAATACATAGAAAACGTTACAGGTGAATATGATATAATTTGTCTCACCGAAACGCATCTTGATGTTGAGGTCCCCATAGGTGAGTTATTGATAGAAGGTTTCCACTCTCCTTTTAGACTCTATAGAAATATGTAAATGAGGCTTTAAAAGTTAGTAGGCTGGTTGACCTCGAAGGCCCCGACATCGAAGTATTATGGTTTCAGGTGTTTCTTCCTGACAAATGTCTAATAATCGGGACAGCTTACCGGTCTGCTTATCACAATAATCATTTTTGGGATAATTTTCGGGCTTCAATAAACGATGCTGTAGAATTATCAAAAAACATTATTTTGACAGGAGACCTCAATGTTGACATGCTAACCATGTCCGAGAATCATGCTTTTGCTGACATTATTGATACTTTTAATTTTACAAATGTTATAAATGAACCTACACGAATAGGTCCCACCAGATCCAATTTTAGTGTCAGAATCTTTGTCTTGCAACGACTCCTACGTCATAGCTACCGAAAACTCCTTTACTGATCACGAAGGTTGTGTCGCATATAGGCTGTCCCGTTATTAATCAAACCCATCTACAAACGAAAAAAAATGGTAATATAAAAGAGGTGACTATGTATGATTTAATCACATTATCGAGGAATATGACTGGAATACTCTTTTTGCCACATGTAACTCTGTTGATTCGGCTAGTGAACATTTTACTGAGTTTTTTCTCTCGATTTTGCTTGTAGATCAATACCACATATAGAAGTAACTATAAGACCTAACGATAAGCCATGGATGAATTCAGACCTGAGAAAATATGAGATTACGCGATATATTACGAAAAACAGCCAAGCATTCTAAGCTTCCACGGGATATATCTAAATTCAAAAATCAGCGAAACAAAGTTAATAACATGAAAAAGCATGCTAGAAAACCCTTCTATGAATATGTTGGAAATTTTATTGATTTTTATTACTCATCTGATCCTAAAAATTACTGGCGACTGATCAAGAGATTGATGGGAAATTCAGGTACCTTGCAGTCTATTCCTACTTCAGTTGATTCAACATCGGAACGTTTATTAGTTGACGATAAGGACAAATCAAATTGATTGAATAATTATTTTTGCAGTATCACTAACATAGATGATAATAATACTGATATTCCTATTTTAGACCCGAAAACTACAATGAAATATGTGATGATTTGTTGAATTTAAAACTTGGCAAAGCCTCAGGTGTGGATGAAATCAGCCACCATACGTTGAAGTACACTGCAAAAACTGTATGTAAACCACTTGAACTTCTTTTTAAATTATCGTTATCGACTTCTTACTATAGACCGATTTCTCTTTTGTCTACGGTTGGTAAAACATTTGAAAGGGTTATCTTTAAGTACTTGCATAATTGTTTTTTTTTTGAAAACTCTCTATTTTATCAGAACCAATCAGGATTTATTCCTGGCCACTCAGCTGTGTATCAATTAATCGAATTATATCATAATATTTGTCTTGATCTAGAAGAAAAGAAGCATACTTGTTTAGTTTTCTGTGAAATCTCAAAAGCTTTAGACAGAGTCTGGGGTAATGGCTTATTAGTCAAGTTAAAAGCATATGGTATCTCAGGAAATTTCCTTTCTTGGATCGAAAACTGCTTATAGATAATTCTTCTTCTGATACTGGTTTGATATGTGCTGGAGTTTCTCAGGGTTAAATTCTCGGACCGTTGTTTTTCTTAATTTATATGTAAATGATATCGCCGAAGTACTAGAATCTACAACACGTCTCTTTGCTGATGATACGTCTTTAAAAACTTCTTCATCTTCTTGTCTAGATATACAAACAGTTTTGAATAGGGACCTGGAAGCTTTAAATAGGTGGGCTAACACTTGGCTTGTTATTTTCAATCCAAATAAGACGGAAGTTATTTTCATATCAAGTTCAAATGATATAGTTAAAGATCTTGAACTGATTTTTGAAGGATATTTTTTGAATTTTAACAGTCTGCATAGGCACCTTGGAGTTACATTCAATTCAGATGCAAAATGGTCAGATTATGTCAGTGAAATCTATAAATCGGTAATGAAAAAAATATATGCGAAAACTCAAATAAATGTTGAAGCGGAATGCTCTCTTAAGAATTTACAAAACTTATCTATTACCAGTTTTAGAATATGCATGTAATGTTTGGGATGGATATACTCTGGTCGATTCTGAAAAGTTAGAGAGGGCTCAACGTGAAGTAGCTAGAATAATTACAGGTTCATCGTCATACGCTAGAAATGAATCTTTATATACAGAAACTGGTCTTTAATTACTTTTGGATAGAAGAAGAGGACAAGAACTTCAGTTAATCTACAAATTGGATAGGGATCAAACCCCAACTACCTTACAAATCTATTTCCACTAAGGTAGGAGAAAACCGACACGCTCTTAGAAATAATGATAACTACAAAATTCCCAATTTCAGTCTCTCTCCTACTAGTTTACCTTTTTTTGCCTTCTTCATTCAAAATGTGGAATACTATAGACTATAATATTAGATCCATGTCTTTCTCATCTTTCAAATCAGCTCTAGTCCCCAATATACCATACACAGTACCCCCTCATTACCTACGTGGTGACAGAAAATTAAATATTCTTCATACCAAACTAAGACACGAATGCAGTCCTCTCAAATTTACCGTGAAAACTTGGTCCATCACTCCAATTGTATAAATTGTGGCTACCATTGCGAAAATGCCTATCACTTTTTCTTTGAATGTCTATACAAATGTTCGTACTGTACTTTTTGATCATATAAATCATTTAAAATAAATGTACATTTAACGCTGAGATTATTACTGTTTTGAAATGAAAATCTGGCTTTGGATATAAATCGTGATGTATTCAAACAAGTGCAAACTTTTATTAGATCCAGTGGAAGATTTTAACATGTTTCGATTATGAAATTGACTTTAAGATATGTTTTTTTTTGTGTATGTGTATGTGTTACTTTAAAAATCGCTTCATACTATTATGAATTGTGATTGACAGTCTATATATCATCATCTGTTGTTTTGAACTATTGTTGTAAGGAGATGGCTTCATAAGTTGTAATAACTTGTGCCAAATCTTTTTTTCCAATTTTGGTTAATAAAATATGTTTAAAGTCAATGATATTGTCGACTCAGTTTCGTGTAACATAAAACTATATGCTGATGACTGTCTATTCTATACACAAAGAAACCCCATAGAAAATTGTGTATAGGTGAACAATGACTTTATTAGGCCGATACGACATTGGGCTTCCTACGTCGAAACACATCTTCATGTACTAGGAAAGTTAAATCACAGACATACACTACTCTTGTAAGACGCATTTTAGAATATGCCTCAATTTGTTGGGACCCCTATTCCATCAACCACATACAAAAATCAGACAATGTACAACGTAGAGCAGCGATATACGCTTAAATGTGTACTGCTCTAGAAATCCAGGCTGTGTTACAAACAATATAAAATCATTGGATTGGGAATCTTTATCGCAAAGAAGGGCCAACGCCAGATTGACAATTATATATACAAAATATCGCATCCTGTCGTTCAAATTGATCCATCCCACCATCTTACTGATGGACATCAGGTGAAAGACGAACAAGGGGCGGGGTGTGGGGCACATGAAATGAACCAAAATATCTTCCAGAAAAGATGCCTACAAATAGTCTTTTCCAAAAGAACTATTATCATCTGCAACTCTTTACCAACGTCACTGGCCCTTAGTGAGGATTTACTTTCTTTCAAGTCCTCACTTGAATCCGCATTATGTACATTGTTTTAATATACTATCTAAAAAATAAACATTAAATCATTCACTTATTAGAAAAATAGAAAAAAATGTAACTAGTAATAAAAAGCATTTCGAAAGTGAAAGTAAACTATAAATACCAGGCAAAAATAATCGATAAAATGACCGGAAGTGTTGATATTTAGATTTAACTAGCGTATTGCTGAACACGTGAAGCGATGACATGCACTCGACTTATACGACTTTAGGTTCTTATCTTCAAATTGTTGACGTGGAACTCCGCCAGGTATATACATATTTGCTCGTAATTTCGAAAATGGTGGATACCTGAGCCTGTGTGGGAGTCTGTGCCAGCAGGTGGACGTGTCGGATGGCCCATGGACAGCTGAAGACTGAAGAACTGTTGTCATCATGAAGTTTTCCAATCTATGTGGTTTTGGTTGCAATTTGATGCTGTTTTGTCTTTTAACTTTCATAGTTTTTGTGCCGATGAAATTTCAGAATGATGATGCATTTCAACCACATTCACCATTCAAGGAAATGAAATTTCAAAGTAATTTGGGAACTGAAGAAAATATAGAATCTGATACTGAGAAAGATGAACAAACGAAAAAGCCTATCTTGATATGGTGGACTAACGGCCTGTTTCCTCATCCGCCAGGAGAACAACTTGTCTCAATTGACTGTGAAGGTTACCAGTGTCTTTCAACCAATCACCGACAATACCTTGCGGATGAAAGAACACGCGGTATCATATTTTATGGAAGTGACATCACTCCTGATAAATTGCCATTGCCACGCAAATCAACACATGAATGGGCACTGTTTCATGAGGAATCTCCTATGAACAACTATGTCCTGTCAAAGCAGACGTTTATATCGCTGTTTAACCATACAGCCACATTTAGTCGTGAATCAGATTACCAGGTGACAACTCAGAACATCTATTCTCTAAAATTTCTGACAAAACGTAAACCGGTATCTCTCGATGTTAGAAATGCTGAGAAGGCCAAACGAAACTTAGCTCCTGTGTTTTATGCACAATCACATGCTGGGGTCCCATCTGATCGTGACAGTTATGTAGAAGAATTGATGAAATACATAAAAGTTGACTCTTATGGAACTTGTTTACACAACAAAGATCTTCCTGAGCACTTAACAGACCCTGCAGAAAACTTTGAAAATTTTGAATTTCTTGATTTTATTTCTGTCTACAAGTTTCACCTGGCATTTGAAAATGCAGTTTGCAAGGATTACATGACGGAAAAACTAATGAGACCGCTACATGTTGGCTCCATACCAATTTATTATGGATCACCTTACGCGCAAGATTGGATGCCAAATAACTCGACTGTCATAATGGTGAATGATTTTGGAGGTCCAAAGGAATTAGCAGAGTTTATTACTTATCTTGACAATAATGATGAAGAATATGAAAAATATATGCAATTTAAAAAGCCTGGAGGTGTCACAAACCAAAAACTTTTGGATCATATGGAGAAACGTCCTTGGGGATCACACGATCATAACTTTCATATTTTTAATGAAGACAATAGGCCAGATTACTTTCAAGGATTTGAGTGCCACGTATGTAAAAACATTCACAAGAGGATAGAAAATGAGAAACAAAGAGAGTTTGATACATCTGTACCTCCACTGCCTCCGAAAATGGCTAATGATTTACATATGGGATGTCCAGAGCCATTTTCCTCGCTTGGTTTGACTGTAGAAGAGTTAAAGGATAGGTAAAAATATTCTTTGTTTGTTCAATATCTGTTGATTAGGAAATTAGTGATCAGTAAACATTGACTCTAAGAATGCTAGCTGATATTATAATATTTAAAAAATAATTTTGTAAAGAAATACAAATGTACAGTGGCAGGTTTCACTGTACATTCAATCTAACCCCTGAGTATTCGGACATCCTGCCATATCATTTCACTATTCAATCTCACCCCGAAGTATTCGGACATCCTGCCATATCATTTCACTATTTAATCTCACCCCGAAGTATTCTGACATTCTGCCATATCATTACACTATTCAATCTCACCCCGAAGTATTCGGACATCCTGCCATATCATTACACTATTTAATCTCACCCCGAAGTATTCTGACATTCTGCCATATCATTTCACTATTCAATCTAACACCTGAGAATTCCGACATCCTGCCATATCATTTCACTATTCAATCTAACCCCTGAGTATTCTGACATCCTGCCATATCATTTCACTATTCAATCTAACCCCTGAGCATTTGGACATCCTGCCATATTTTTAGCTCACCTGGCCCGAAGGGCCAAGTGAGCTTATGGCATGGTGCAGCATCCGTCGTCCGTCCGTTATCCGTCCGGCGTCAACTTTTTACTTTAAACAACTTCTTCTCATTAACCAAAAGGCCTGTGGTGATGATATTTTGCCAGAAGCATGCTGGGATGAAGGGCTTCCAAGTTTGTTCAAATAAATGACCTTCATCTATTTTCAAGGTCACAGGGGTCAATTACATTAAAATCTTTAAGCAACTTCTTCTGAATAACCAAGAGGCCTAGGGTGATGATATATAGCCAGTTACATGCTGGGATGAAGGGCTACCAGGTTTGTTCAAACAAATGACATTGAATCATATTCAAGGTCACTGGGGTCAAATATGTTAAAAACATTTAGACAACTTCTTCTGAATAACTAAGAGGCATAGAGTGATGATATTTGGCCAGTAACATGCTTGGATGAAGGGCTACCAAGTTTGTTCAAATAAATGACCTTGACTTATATTCAAGGTCACAGGGGTCAAATATGTTTAAAACCTTTCAACAACTTCTTCTGAATAACCAATAGGCCTAGGGTGATGATATTTGGCCAGAAGCATGCTGAGATGGAGGGCTACCATGTTTGTTCAAATAAATGACCTTGACCTATATTTAAGGTCACATGGGTCAAATATGTTTAAAAACTTTCAACAACTTCTTCTGAATAACCAATAGGCCTAGGGTGCTTAAATTTGGCAAGTAATATGCTGGGATAAAGGGATACCAAGTTTGTTCAAATACATGACCTTGAATTATATTCTAGGTCACAGGGGTCAAATATATTTAAAACATTAAACATCTTCTTCTGAATAACCAATAGGCCTAGGGTGCTTAAATTTGGCAAGTAATATGCTGGGATAAAGGGATACCAAGTTTGTTCAAATAAATGACCTTCATCCATTTTCAAGGTCACATGGGTCAAATATGTTTAAAACCTTTAAACAACTTCTTCTGAATAACCAAAATGCCCAGGGTGATGCTATTTGGCCAGTAGCATTTTGGGATGAAGGGCTACCAAATTTGTTCAAATGAATGACCTTGACCAACTTTCAAGGTCCTACCAAGTTTGTTCAAATGAATGACCTTGACCAACTTTCAAGGTCCTACCAAGTTTGTTCAAATACATGACCTTGAATTATATTCTAGGTCACAGGGGTCAAATATATTTAAAACATTAAACATCTTCTTCTGAATAACCAATAGGCTTAGGGTGATGATATTTGGCCAGTAACATGCTTGGATGAAGGGCTACCATGTTTGTTCAGATAAATGACCTTGACCTATTTTTAAGGTCACATGGGTCAAATATGTTGAAAAACTTTCAACAACTTCTTCTGAATAACAAATAGGCCTAGGGTGATGATATTTGGCCAGAAACATGCTGAGATGGAGGGCTACCATGTTTGTTCAAATAAATGACCTTGACTTATATTCAAGGTCACATGGGTCAAATATGTTTAAAAACTTTGAACAACTTCTTCTGAATAACTAAGAGGCCTAGAGTGATGATATTTGGCCAGTAACATGCTTGGCTGAAGGGCTACCATGTTTGGTCAAATAAATGACCTTCATCCATTTTCAAGGTCACAGGGGTCAAATATATTTAAAACATTAAACATCTTCTTCTGAATAACCAATAGGCCTAGGGTGCTTAAATTTGGCAAGTAATATGCTGGGATAAAGGGATACCAAGTTTGTTCAAATACATGACCTTGAATTATATTCTAGGTCACAGGGGTCAAATATATTTAAAACATTAAACATCTTCTTCTGAATAACCAAGAGGCCTAGGGTGTTGATATTTGGCCAGTAACATGCTGGGATGAAGAGCTACCAAGTTTGTTCAAATACATGACCTTGAATTATATTCTAGGTCACAGGGGTCAAATATATTTAAAACATTAAACATCTTCTTCTGAATAACCAATAGGCCTAGGGGGATGATATTTGGCCAGAAGCATGTTGAGATGGAGGGCTACCATGTTTGTTCAAATAAATGACCTTGACTTATATTCAAGGTCACTGGGGTCAGATACCTTAAAATCTTCTAATACCTTCTCCTCAATAACCAAAAGGCCCAGGGTACTGATATTTGGCCTGTAGCAATCAGGGCTACCAAATTTGTTTAAATTAATGACCTTGACCCACTTTCAACCAAATGTCATTGTTTGACATTCAAGGTCACACTGATATTCTGCCTGTAGCTGTATTTTAGTCCATTTTTAAGTTTACAAGTGTGAGATTAATACCAGGTGAGCGATGCAGGCCCATTGGGCCTCTTGTTTCATTGTTCAATCTAACCCCTGAGTATTCCGACATCCTGCCATATCATTTCACTATTCGATCTCACCCCTAAGTATTCTGACATCCTGCCATGCCATTTCACTGTTTAATCTTACCCCTGAGTATTCAGACATGCTGCCATATCATTTCACTATTTAATCTTACCCCTGAGTATTCAGACATGCTGCCATACCATTTCACTGTTTAATCTTATCCCTGAGTATTCAGACATGCTGCCATATCATTTCACTGTTTAATCTTACCCATGAGTATTCCGACATCCTGCAAATTGTTTTCACTATTCAATTTAACCCCTTAGTATTTCTACATCCTGCCATAACCAGACAGATATAAAATTTCTTATTAAATTAAGGATCCCTGTCCCATTACAGGAAAAACCACTAGAGAATTCCACTGCAACTTTTTCAGGTGCAGTTGCCTCCCTTTTATTTCATTTTGGATATACCATGTAACTGTAGCGCTAATTTGATCAGTTCACCAGTTAGCTCAATTGGTTAAAGGGACAGTTCAACAACTTGAGGTCCAGGAATTTTAATCCAGGTCTAGTCTTGCGGAACTTTGTGGATAGTACTGTAGTAGTGGAAACTGCTGTACACATTAAAAGTTGTTTACTTTCTTTGACTAGAGGGAGTTTCCCTTTCTTTGACTAGAGGGAATTTCCCTTTCTTTGACTAGAGGGAATTTCCCTTTCTTTGACTAGAGGGAATTTCCCTTTGGCTCAGTGGTAGAGCACCAGTCTAGTAATTGTGGGATCTCTTGTTCAAATCCCAATGGAGACACAATTCTTATGCTTTACTTTGAACTAATGCCGATATACCCATGACTCGATTCAGTATATATTTGCGTGCGTTCAATTAATGTACAGATCATGCGAAATTGATGATGAAATTCTGAATGAAAATTAATTTAAATTCTGTGTAAGTATTTGCAAGTAAAAAATGTATATATTTGTGATTAAATTTATGTTTTTTTCCTGGATTTCTCTTTTCAGGTGGACGGATACTGACTGGGTCCAAGTTTATCGCACTCAAGAAATGATGGCTTCGGCAGTCTATGACATGATAGCAGCAAATGAAACAAACTCGGAGCATTTCATAAACTATCTCAATAAATATTTGAAAAATAAGAATGTTAGCTTATAGCAATTAGTGTATGGTGTTTTTCATCGGTTTGTTGATCTGTTTCTTTAATGAGATTTTACATGATCAAAATACTGGTGAAAGGCATCATACGGTAAAGAAAATACGCTATCCATACAAACCTCTATGAATATAAATACCACATCAAAAAGATTACATGCATTATATTTTTTTTCATAGATTTCCTCAAGAAAGGAGTTTGAAATGTATCAATTTTTCACTATAATTACAAGTTTTTTTAGGTAGTAGAAATTAAAGATTTAAACGAGGATTTACAATTTCCTAGTACTAAGTAAAAAGTAAAGGGGGGATCTTAATGTGGAAGGAAACCTAAGAACTCTGAGAAAACCCACATGATCAGGGCACATGACCCCATACCTTTTCATGTCCAATCAGGGAATCTTGATGAAAGACAAGTGCACTATCCACAGCACTAACCAACCATTCGGTCGTCGTTATATGCAACTAGTCGGCCAATTAATACACTCAATTGTTCATAACTGAGCTATATTATGATTGGAGACCCTGCATTTATATTTTCATGTATTTGATACCTATTGCGCTGCTTAGGCCAAAACAAAATATATGTATGTTTTAGGTATCTCGACCTACCCTGGATTTTACTGCTGATCCTAGATATTTTATCACCTACATTGTACTTCTATCTAAGATTAGTTTACTAGCCAGGCAAAGTTCACAGCCACTCATTAAAATGTAGTTTCTTCCTGTTCTGGGAGTCTGACATTATTCTTGACAAATTAATAGCCACTGATATGTGTAGAAATATATTGTAAAATTTGAAAGAAAGCATAATATTAATTGACGATTTTTTATTTTTTTTACATTTATAAAAAAATTATTTGCCTACTGGCTTTCTCTAAAAAAACATTCAGGCATGTTACCTGAAACAAAGAATTTTTGGTCTGACCTGTTAGTATCCATAGAGTGAAGTTCCCCACAGATTTGTCTACCTTCTTATTGATGTTGACTCTTTTATAGCTATACTTTAGTTAAAATATTGATTAAAATAAAATGTTTTGAAACTGTTTTAATTTTTAGCTCTTCTGAATGTCATGTTAAGTGAATATATCTTCAAGATATAATCATTTTGTAACAGATTAGTGCAATGATAATTTGGTGCAAACACAGCATATGTGATAGAAAACTCTATATACAGAAACTGCAGTATGTGCAATCAAAATATAGTGCCATGAGTAAAGCCCAAAACACTTAAAAAAGAATCATTGCTAATATATCTTACCTATCATATATCTATTCTACCATGTCAAAATGTGATGCCAATGAGTTCAGTGCCTTTAACTCATTCACCCCTGAAATTTTATAATGAACTATTCCAACCTTTGAATTAGAAGAGTTCAAATGTGTCTTCAGGGGTGAATGAGTTAAGCAACATGTATATAAATAATCCAAACATAAGGCTATTCTTGTGGGTCTTGTGAAAATATTTGTCATGTTGATAACCTGTGTTCATACACGGAATTAACCATCTAAGTCGGTGGTTCATATCACCAACAAAACATGCCCAGTTGATGTCATAGTTATGGACGTTGCAGCCGGTGGTCCTGATGGGCTAGTTTAACATAGGCATATGTGGAAATGATCAGATAAAAACATGGGGACATGTACCTTCCCTTGACAAAGCAACTCTTCAAGGGCCAGTCCATCCTCGATACTCCAGGGGCTACGCTCCGAGAGCATCAGCGCAACCCCTGGAGTATCGGGGATGAGGCCAGTCACACATTGGCTCATTATTAACATTTACAATTGGGGTGTGGATGGGGAAGTGGGGTTGAGTTTTTGGAAGAGTGTTGCACATTATAAAACATATATATGTGCCTGAAACTTAATTATTAATCAACAAAATATTTTATTCCATAAGTGGTAACATTTCTATTTAACAAGTAAATAAGTTGTTTCAAAATATCTCACAAAGTAGATGATGTTGTCATTCATATATTCAATCACGGATGACTGCATTTGGTATGACGAAACCTGGAGCGTGAAATCCTGTTAATTGTTTGTGAAGTTATGTTTTTTGACTTAATTGTAATTTTTTTATCGAGTCTGTGATTTTCAACTATGTGTAATATCAGCACCCTCATAAAATATATTTAACTGATCAATCAAAAATGGAAAACAAAATTGATTTTTTGTTACAAATTTTATTCAAAATCAAAAGCTCTTTTTGATAATATGTTAAAGAAGTTAAAGCTATCTTGGTATACTAGTAAAAGATGTTTTACAGGATCATGAATACATTAATGTAACAGTTTTAATCAATTGACATGCACAGCTTAAGGAGAGTGAAGTTTGATTTCATAATTTTGTGTGAACTCACTCACCCCTGAAATTGGATAATGAACTATTCCATCCTTTGAATTGGAAGAGTTCAAATGTGTCTTCAGGGGTGAATGAGTTAATAATGAAGATGATTTGAAATGTGAAGCTTGTACTATGTACATGTAGATTATTTGTTACAGAAAGTTTGTCAAATTTGAGCTGAATTGTCTCTCCATTAGCCAATCCTTGTCTTATTTACATATTGGAAATGTTTTCCTGATTTTTTTGGTGCATGTTTTTTTTAGGTCACCTGAGCTTTGCTCAAGTGACCTATTCTAATCGCTTTTCGTCCGTCGTCGTCCGTCGTCCGTCCCGTCGTGCGTCGTGCGTAAACTTTTACATTTTCAACTTCTTCTCAAGAACCAGTGGATGGATTTTTTTCAAACTTGGTCAGAATCATCCTTGGTAGATGAGGCTTCAAAATTGTAAAATTGGGATTCCTACCCCAACCCCTGGGGCCAGGGCGGGGCCCCAAAGGGAAAATTA